AACCCCTTGACACTCTTGACTGCTGACTCCCACAGGCCGCCAAAATGGTGGGCCCTGGGAGGGATGAAATGAAATTTTATGAACTCATTTAAACAAAATTTATTGATGGAGTGGATCGTTTCTTCATTGAATAAAAATTGCTTGAGTGCCTCCAATTTGTTGTTGGCTCCTTTGAAGTTGGTAGCATTATCACAAAAGATGTCGGACGGAAGTGCGCGTCTGGCTACCAAGCGCTTCAAGGCCGCAATGAAGGCTTCGGTTGACAAATCGGACACCACTTCAACATGCACCGCCTTCGTGGCAAAACATATAAAGATGGCGATATAGCTTTTGTAAGGCACTTTTCCGCGGATACGTAGGTACGTGTTAACCGGGCCACAAAAATCCACACCGCATCTTGAGAATGGTCTCGATGGCGTAAGGCGCTCGACAGGTAGGTGACCCATTATTTGTCTCTCCAGGGTTGGTCGATAGCGAACACAGTGAACACATGAGCGAACGACCCGCCGTGCTACTTCTCGTGCATTGACAATCCAGAATCGTAGACGGATAAGGCCAACTAATGCCTTTGGGCCCGCATGGTAGTTCTGCCTGTGAACAAATTGTACATATCGTCGAACAAATTCATCTTTACGTGGGAGTAATATCGGATGTTTCTGGGTGTATTGAACGTTTGCCAACTCCAAGCGACCTCCAACCTTAAGCAGCATAAATCCTTCAGTCACCTGTAAAAAGGGATTTAAAAATTTAAGGTGGCCGCTGACCTCTCTTCCTTTGCGAAGTGCTTGGATGTCATCGGTGAAGTATTTGGTCTGCAAATTCCAAATAATACAATGCATGGCACGCAGTAGTTCTTGTGGCGAGGGAGATGGTGTATCGAAAGAACACAATTTTCTGCTTATGTAACTAAAACGAAGCATCCAGGCTACGATTAGCAAACAACGGCTATGCGAGCTGATGTTGTAGATAACTTCGAGTAGATAGTTGGTAACGCTAGTAACAGCAAATGCCGATTTCCGTTTTTCCGAATCAACAATATTTTGGTCAATATCACCCGGCCTTTGTGTTGGCCACTCGTCTTGGTGTTGTAGCAAATAAGCAGGACCCTCGAACCACATAGACTGATTTAGCTCATCCACCGAACATCCCCTTGATAATAGGTCGGCGGGGTTACAGCGCGTTGGAACATATTTCCAATGACAGCTGGAAGTTTGCTCTTGTATTTCAGATATTCGGTTTCCGACGAACGTGGACAGTGTGGCGGAGTGTTGCTGAATCCAGAATAGCACGATTTGCGAGTCACTCCACAAGAACGTCGAATACTTGTGGTCAGCAAAGTTCACTTTGATTTTGGCAAAAAGTTGTGCCAGCAAATGGGAGCCGCACAATTCCAATTTCGGAAGCGATAGTTTTCTAGTTGGTGCAACTCTTGATTTCGATGTAACTAGATTCACCTTAACCTTACCATCAGCGCTGACCGTACGTGCGTAGATGCAACATCCATAGGCCCTGATGGATGCATCGCAGAAACCGTGCAACTGAAGGCTCCCAGCATTTGGTTGTAGGCAAAATCGTGGTATCTTAAGCAGCTCCAACGACGAAAGTGATGAGAGAAACGAAATCCATGCAGTGTGGATGTTATGTGGAACTGACTCATCCCACTGCAGCCTAAGTAGCCACAGTTCTTGCAGAATAATTTTTGCTACTATGATGACAGGTGACACTAATCCCAACGGATCGAATAGAGATGAAGTCACTGACAGTATTGAACGTTTAGAGACAACGTTAAATGTCTGCTTAGGCACAAGTGAAAACATAAAAACGTCTTCTTGTTGATTCCATCTTAACCCCAGAGTGCTAGTTATAGCTTTGTCGTCCAGATTTAGCTCTTTGATGGTGCAATCATCGACAAACTCGATGTAGTTTGAATGCCATTTTGCAAGTTCAAATCTACCACGACGAAGTACTTCGGTAACTTCTGTTTTGATTTCACGAAGAGTATCAATAGTATTTGCTCCACAAATGAAGTCATCTACATAAAAGCACGATTTTATGGCCTCGGCACCGATTTTAAACTTATCCAAGTATTGATCAGCCAAATATGACATACTACGTATGGCAAGATATGGAGCAGCAGCGGTCTTGTAAGTGACTGTATTGAGTTCATAAGTGCAAAGCGGTTCATTGGGTGTATTTCTCCAGAGTACATACTGAAACTGCCGGTCCTTATCATCAACAACAACCTGTCTGAACATTATGACAATATCGGCAGTAATCGCGTAGCGATACAATCGAAAACGAAACAGAAGCGTGTATAGCTCGAGCTGTATGGTTGGTCCGACCATCAATAAGTCGTTAAGTGACTTCTGTGACGTAGTCTGGCAGGAGGCATCGAAGACAACCCGTAACTTTGTCGACGTACTGTTTGGCTTAAACACACAGTGGTGGGGTATATAAAAATGAGGCACATTCATCTTCGGCGTACTCACCAAGCTCATATGGCCCAAACGTTGGAACTCTACCATGAAGTCTATGTATTGTCGCTTAATATCTGGTGTGCGGCTCAAGCGACGTTCAAGAGCTTCAAAGCGTCTGCGGGCGGTTTCATATGACCGACCTAGCAAACAAGGATTATCCTTGAATGGAAGACGAACTACAATTCGACCATCGTTTTGTCGGCGAACCGTGGTGATGAAGATTTCCTCACATTTGCGTTGCTCTGGAGTGTAGGTATCAGCTGGTGTCCTAACATCTTCGATACGCCATAGGCGCTCTACGTTCTGGTTTATGGATTCGTCCAGTGATAGTGCATAGCTGTGCGGTGTTGTAGATCATGCATCACAACGACCGGAAACAACCCATCCCAGGAGGGTCTTCTGCAGCACAGGCAAATTAGGACCAAGTTTCACTTGCCCAACAGATAGGATATCAAAAAATGCTTCGGTTCCAAGGAGTAGGTCAATGCGGCGCGACTTGTTGAAGTTTTCGTCAGCCAATAGCGTATTCTTGGGTAGATTCCATGATGAAATGTCGATTTCCGATTCTGGATGATAGGCAATGTGCGATGTGACACAGAAACCGAGTGGCAATTCCAATTCGACAAAACGTGATTTGATTGTGGTAGACGTGCGATGCTTAACCTGAGTTTGCGACTCCCCAATGCTGCGAATTTCCAAGTTGCTTCTCTTACGGGGTAAACGAAGTGTTTGTGCGAACTCATCAGATATAAAATTTACTTGGGAGCAGGAGTCCAGTAGAGCGCGGCCAATTCTGTAAGGACCTGTAGCATCCTTAATCTGTACCAACGCAGTGGCTAGTATAATTCGATTCAAACAAGTGTCCGTGTGTGCTGTATCATCGTTATGGGCTGTGATGCCACCGGAGAAGCTGTGTTATTAGCATCACGATGTAACAGCGTGTGATGTGGACGAGTGCACGTTCGGCATCTGTGCCTTGAGGGACACTTCGCAGCCTGATGACCTTTACCGAGACAGTTAATGCAGAGCCCCAAACGTTTTGCAGTATCGTAGCGTTGATTAAGCGTATTTCCAATAAGTTGAGGGCACCTAAAGGTTCTGTGTTCGGTATTTGAGCAAACGTGACAGGCTTGTGGTGTACAGTTGAAGGTCAACCCTTGTCGTTGCGGTTTTTGGTTGCGTGGTTTACTCACTGATTGTTGACTCATAGTAGCATGCTGGGCTTACCTATAGATTCTAGGTATTGGCAACGTCGTTCAACGACGCTAATGCAAGATGTCCATGTCGGAAGATCTCGGAAGTCTAAAAACTCATTCCATTTCTTCCTGGTGTCCTGATCGACTTTGTCCATCACTATCGAGATGAGCATAGCCTGAGCAATTTGCGACTCAGAACCCAGTGACAGTAACGAGTTGTACAGGGCTGATGCATTGTCAATGAGACTACGCAGATGTTGCGCATTCGATTTGGAAACATTCGGCAAGCTGAATAAGGATTTTATATTATCCAAAAAGACGAGCGTGGGGTTGTCATAGCGAGCTTTAAGACGTTCGAGCGCTTTCGGATAATTTTCAGAAGAGATCTGAAATGCCTTCACAGTTTCTAAGGCCGCTCCCTTCAAACAATTAAGCAGTTGGTTGAACTTCTCGATAGAAGACAAGCTAGGTTGACTATCAATGACTTGCTTAAATGACGTTACGAAGTTTTTGTAGTCGGAGTACTTGCCATCAAACGTAGGAAGTGCCAGTCGTGGTAGCTTCATGGAAGTTGAATGAGAAACGCAGGGCGAAGCATCGGCCACGGTTGTATTGTGGGCGTCCGCGCCCAATTGCTCCTTAATGCAAACCTTAATAGCGACGTATGTGTCTTCGATTTCACTTCTGGTGTCCCGCTGGGCTTCGTCTGGATCCATCTTCTCCATTTCGGTCTGCACTGTCATTACCTGCTTGAAGTAGGCTTCTAAAATAGACAAACGACAGTTTAGTTCAGCTGACGAGACTCCAAGTTTTGTATCAACTGTGCTGCGAATGCGGGTTATGTTCCGACGGAGATTAGTACGCTGCTACTTAAGAGCTTCTAAGTTGGCCATTTTGGTGATACAAATTAAGAATTAATTGTGGTTTGATTTTAATACATAAGTTCCGCAACTCGAAAATCACCTGCTGTATAATTCGTGGCGAATAAACGTTCTTATGCAGAAGTGCTAACTGCATGAATACCCTCAATGTATGTATGTAAAACACTGCTATGTTTTTGTGCCTTAGTACAAAGGAATGTAGCGGTAGGCTATGGCCAAATTGAACAACGTGTGATGCGACGATGTACAAATGTGTATGGTTTCTATGCGAAATATTT